CTGTTACTGGTGTTCCATTGTGAATTCAAAACATGACCATGATGACAATCAATAATTTAGCAAATCATAACATACACATGTTTTCAATAAACAATAAAACCAAATTCTTGGTTTATATTTTAAAGAAAAATCCACAGAGGTGTGAAATCTCAGCTTTAAAGCTGATTACAGCTTTTTTTGTTTTGGATTTCAGCTTTGCTGTGTACAAAAGTATGGGAGATTTCCAAAGTTCAGCTTTTTTTTTACACCTTTTCCAGCTGTTTCCAGCTATTTTTTTCAGTGGTTAATTATTCACACCCCTGTATTAACTTCACAAAAACAGCAGCCTCATTAGTGAGGAACGGCAAAAGGACATGTTAAAAACTCTATAAAGTTTGCTGTTTACAAAACGGGTGTCTCATTCTTTTCAAACAGTTTAAGGGAATCAATATTTTAAAGGGACTTGTCATGGACTTGTTAACCTCCAAATGCCTGGAGAAGTCCGTGCCTCGGAAGAAGGAAGTCCTCTGAAGAGGTCCTTGCTAAAGGATGAAATATTAGGTCGCTCTAATTTTTGGAACCTCCAAATGTCACACGTACTAAACACACCCGGATTTAAAGGGTTATTTTACTTTCAACTTAAAAGTCCACTAAAAATGCCACTCAATTTAGCATTATGGTTATGACTTGAATTGACAGTTACAATTAAGCTTCTTTATTGTACAGACATTTTCAAATGCATAAAAATTAAAAATATAAATTAGTTTTGTTTGACAACAATTACAAATTATCCGTTTGACCTTCGAAATTTAGAATATTGACGAACAAAGTGAATAGTTAAAAATGTCATGTAAGCACAGTGTACGTTACAATATTGTTCAAGTTAAACCTGTCAATTAAAATGATCTGTATACATGTCATGCAGAAACAATGTAAAGAGAGATTTCAGATTTGCAATTTCCCATAAGAGTAGTGGTCAGAAACCTATTGCTTGATGTGCACCATCTCTGATTAAATTAACTTCGCCGACATTTTCCTTTGTCTTCTCAAGACTGTTCATATTTTTCCAACTATTCAAATGCTTTTTAAATGTGTTATAAATAGGTTTGGTATGCGATGAATGATTGAATATTTAAAAACAATTGTAAGATTTCAGCACAGTCCTAGTTTCACAAGTCCATTCATAAAACTGGTTGGCGAGTGGGTCCTTTTTCTGTGCATTTTCATAAGAAGAATCAACATTTTCTGCCAAACTGCCATTCAAAAATTTGATATATTCACTGAGAAGTGAGAATGGTACATGAACCTCTAAATTTGACAATATTGGTGTTGGGTAACTCAAATTATGTATAGGTAGTAGAAATTTTTATCAGGCATGCAACTTTTCCTCGGATCAGCTGATTTCCTCGTTTTTCATTTCACACTCATGCCACTCACGTATGCGAAAATTCAGTTTTCACTATGCGCTGGAAAATTTTTCGCTTCTCGGCAACCCGTGGTCCGATTTTTATGTTTTTGGTATCAAAAGATGCACAAAGCTCGAGGCTAAAAAGTCATAACAGCTCAGGTCGCAAAAAAAATTTTTTTAGAGGCTATCCGCCCCTGGCCCCTTTAGGGTTAAGCCTTCTATATTTTTTGTGACACGAGCTGAAAGTAAATATCTGAAACGTCCACCAATTTGCTCCATGGTCTCTGACGGACTCTGCATGCACTTGCTAATGGCCTTCCTGGTTCATGAATAGCCCTGCCCATTTGATTGATCAGAGTTCCCACCCATTTTTTTTTCACCATTTACTACAGCTTTGGAGTGTTTTTTTTGGTAAAGGTGGTCACTGAATCCTGCAAACAATACCCAATTTTTGTGGAGGTCATTGCATGCCGCACCTGCATTCATTACTTTTTGTAGGCATGACTGTGAGCTGAAACGAAACCTCCGGTGAAATTGGGTACTATGATCGTTATTCAATTTAAAACAAACAAAAAACAATTAGGATAACTGTTTTTTGAAATCTCTGATTTCTCCCAAATGATCAAGTTGATACTGGAGAGGTATCAGAAATAAGGTACAAAAGAATTTCCTGAGTGTTTGAAAACTTTGAAAAATTGTAATCCTTAATAATAAACCTTGGCCTTTAATCAATCATGTCATAAATTACCACCAATAATGATTTCTTTTGAAAAGATACGATCCACTGTGTGACTTTCTTTTCTCGCATTTATCTGTGTACTGGCCTGGGATGTACTGATGTACACTCTGCAACAGTACAATTTGTTTACAACTTTACATGTGCTGTTCTGGTCTACAGAGGGCGCTGTTGCATAACTTAAGTGTTTCTGGTCAACAATAAAGTTCTGCATGTTCTTTATCTCCTTAGACTCGATCAAACACAAAAAAACTCAGGTTTACTTTTAGACACACCAAATTTGAGGTTATTATAACATCTCTAATGTTTCATTCATATTTTTGTGTGGGGCAGGGTATGTATGTAATACCGGTACATTTAGTTTGTGGGAGATTTTTTTCCCAGAAGACCCAAACTGGGGTGCGTTTTGGCGGTCATAACCAAAAACTGGTTCTGTTGTTTCTCTTTGGTTAATTGTTTTTGGGGTTTGAGTATTGCATTGTGAGTAATTCTTGGTTATGACTGCCAAAACGCACCCCTGAATTGTCCTCAATGAAAGCGACAACTGATACGAATCTAGCTCTGCCTTGAAAATAGTCATTCTATTCCATTGATGCATAGAGTAAACTTTTGGATCCAATATCAATTCTTGGGTCTGGTGAGAGATCACAAGAAAATGTTTGTGCCAGTTGTTCACACAATGCATTATGCTCATAAGTAATTTTTTCCCTGTTTAAGCAGCTTAATTAATCGAGATTTGACACATTTTGAGGAGTTGCAAGACACACCCAAATCAACTTGGAATTTGAGCATGATGCCAATGGCCGACAGTTTCCCACCACCATATAAAAATGGAAAAGCCTGGGAAAATCCCACGCGCTTTCGGCTTATTTCGTTAAGACATTTTGTAGGGTGTAAATTATATACAGGGGCCCAAAATTTTGCATATAACTGAAATAAGAGTAGGCCCTGGATACTATTTCAAGGCTGAAGTGAAAAGGTTGCATGCCCTGCATTTATGTAAGGATGTGTGTATTCAGACATCTAACATCTACAGTGCAGGTCTATGTATTGTCGTTTGGAAACCAAAGGTATGAGGTACCTTTGTGTACTTTGTACTCTTGCCTATTGTTATTCATACAACCTAGATAACTTGTAGGAGGTCAGTCCTTGTGTAAATAGAGAAAATGGACCAATGGAAGTTGATGGACTGTACCATCTTAGGAACGGGGTTTCCAACTGCAAACGTTTGAGTCAGTCTCATTATTAATAGTGCATTCTTTTCGAAAAGAAGCCTTTTTTGAAGAGGGGATGAAAACCCCTTGATTTGTTTTTGTTCTAAAGTAATAAAGATGATGACCTGTTATAATTTTCAGTGCCAGTAAAACTTCTCAATTTCAGTTTTGTTTTACACCCCTTGAAAAAGTGGTTTGGCAGTTCCAAAGTCATAACTGTTCAACCAATGGGTTGAAGGGTTGGGCAGTGGGTACTACGATAGTACAGGTAGTTAGACCGCATCCCAATTTCTTGTCTACGGCTACTATCCAGATCTTCAACAATTACCGGTACCACTGTGTGAGCATATGCTGACAATAGACTTAGCCGTAGCCGGGATGAGGGCACATCTCGGCCAGGGCCCACATTTGTTTGTCCCATTGATATGCTAATACACTTCAACTGATTGGAGGAGGCCTGGCCCTGAAAGTTAAAGCCCATAGTGCAAAAATACACCTGGTACGGGGTGCGTCCAGATCGGTCACAGATATCACGAGGACCCGTTTTTTACACATGCCTGCGGAGTTGGTTTGATCGAGATAATTACATAAAGTGACTGTAAACTACTGTGTACCTCCCGATAGGGATAGTTAAAAGATGGCTTCGAATAAAACGGATCTGAATGCAGATATTCTACCAATTGTAAGCTCTCTTTAAGTGTTTTTTTTCTTCATGATAAGTGTGGTTTGGTGATTGTGTTCATGTAGTTTAAATGGGCCTCATTCCTACATGTGCATGATTTAACGAAGATCTATCCACTTCTTGGGTTTTTTGACTCCCAAGCATTGTGGGTGGGGGACAGGGTTTTGATTTTTTTTTTAAAGGAAATTTTGGGGTACAACGATGACGAAGACGACAAAACATGAAATTAAAGATGAGGACCAGCAAACAAATCACTGCAATACACCGTGATTATCATTCTGCAAAACCGTGTTGATTCGCCTGACTATACGTTTACAAGCAAATCTTATTTTGTACCGCAGATACATGTACTGTACAAAAGCAAAGTTATTAGAATTAAATAAAGACTGCCTATTGGGTTGCAGAAGTCATTTTGAATGATAAAAACACTCCAACGCAGATGGTTTAACGTTATGTTGTACTCTCTCAGTCCTTCTGTTTTGAGGCGCGCGATCACACCCCCACGCCATCACACGCCTAAATGCTTCCTGAAAAGTGCAAATAATCGCACGCCTGAATCCCTCAGTACTGCACACCTCGGCAAACATTTACAGCATAGTTACACTTCATAATTTGTGAAAAATAAGTACGTCGGTGAAGAGAAAACGGCTTTATTGTAAACCAAGATGAATATTATGGAAAAAAAATACCAGATTATTCAGTCCCAGCTTGGACCACAGAATCACACACCTAGAAAAATCACACGCCTAGAAAAATCACACACCTAGAAAAATCACTCACCTAGAAAAAACCAGGTGTGCGTTTTTCCACACACCTGTGATTTTCAAATCAGAAAGACTGTATGTACCGGGGGTACTGTATTTCCTTGTGGTTAGTTAAGCAATCCAAAAGTTAATAGAGAAATTAGGTCAGTGGAAATGTGTTAAAAATTTCATGTGTACATCCATCTGAACGTCCAATTGATGTTTTTTAATTTTTCAGGACACAGAATATGGTATCCCCTTGGAAGAAGTTGACAACCCCGCCTTTGACTCCTCCCAAACACCTGGAAATACAGGACGCACAAACGGTGGCCGTTACGACCCAGAACGAGCCGCGGACGAAACAGATGGAGATGAGGACCAAAACAGCGAAAGCAAGCTCTGGAGGGTAAAAAAACTTTTGGATAAAATACTTCTCCCGGCCGGTTCATTGTGCAAATGCAAAGCAAATTAGATGTCGCAAAATATTGTGACATTGAAATGTATTCAATTTTTACAAATTGAAGTAAGTTTTGAAACTTTGCATGGTGGTAGTGTACACTAGTGAATTAGGTTTGCGATGACACCATGTGGAAAATCTCTTTTGAGAAGAAGTGCGGTTCTGAAAAGAGTGCAGGGTGTTTTCACAACCAACCGGTTCTTTTCAGAACCACACTTTTTTCCACATGATGTCATCCGTTTGCAAAGTAGTTTTGCAAATTTGCTGCGTGAAAACCTGCTTTGACATAAAGCGCTAGAGGCGAAAAATCAAAGTGCACCGCGGGGCCACGCCATGTTAGGGATATCAACAACAGCTGCATTTATTTGGGGATTACACGTCCATTTTGACTCTACTGTGCATCTTTTGTGAAAAACCCCTTTGTGGTTCTGGCCTTAATTGTGGGTGTGAATTCCCCAGGATTTTTCAATACCCTGGACATTTTCCAATAGCTTTTTGTTGTGAATGTCGGTGTTCAGAAAAACAACTTACCGTAGTGTTCCGATAGTATTATTCATAGAGAATGATGGCTCAGGCAAAAAAAAATCTCTGGCAAAACCAAGTCCGAATGTTTACTATGTTGACACTCATCGTCAGCCAGTAACATTCTTTGCGTAAACTTTGTGACTTTTGTTTTACGCACTGAGCATTTAGGTCTGGAATTACAGGGTCAAGTTTGTTGGCCAATAGGAGAGTGCTTTGCAGGATTGCACAGCTTTTGTAAAGAAAGATCTGACTGGTCAGAAATTATGTCAGTCCATCTTTGGAAGTGTTTTTATGAATAATAAATATTGCAAATTCAGGACAGAAAAGATGGAGACTTGGTTTGCCATTGGTACTGTCTTACAACCTGTGTGAGTAAGACTACCCTGGCTGATGAGAATAAGCCCCATAAGGGTGCACGCCTGTAAATAGGCCAGAAATCCGTCCGCCCAGCTCGTGAATAAAAGTTATACCCTCAAAATATATTACAGAGTTTTGAGAGCCATAAAATTGCGGAATTGAAGAGATATGGTAATGAACCTCTGGCCCGGACTTGGGGCTTCCAATTCTGAGCATTTTGGATGCTATTGGGCTCGAAAGTGGCGCCATTTGCCATGTTGTGGAGGGATCGTTTTTCGAGATGGCTACTTTTCCGCTCTGGGGAAAATAGGGGTCGTCTTCTTTGGGTGAGAATATCTCGAAAAGTCAATGGTCAACCCACCAAAAAAATGAAAAGAAAATGAAAGATGACACATTGATCATCATTTTTCTGTGCAGCTTTGAATACCTGTGAGAGTTCTGAGTATTTTTAAAAGAATTTTGAAGTATGCGCATTTAGCACTAGTGTCTTTTATTGCAGGGTTGCACCCATAAGTTACCAGTTGTATTTCTATGGTGAATGTCTAATATCATTTCTAATAATTATTCACCGTTACTTCTGTTTGACATTACTCTCATTAAAGAGGTTGTGGAATGTTCGAAGACATTTCCGTCATTTTTCGGGTACATGTATGTATATGTAGCCTAAGGTGTGATGAAATAAAAAACGACTATTGCGTCTGTCATGAAATGAATACAAAAGGTACTTTTGAGAGCTGTTTTTCAGGTCCTGTTTCGACCCGAACGTGCAAATTGTGTAAAAGTCGTCGTTGGGGGTAGCAAACAAAACATAGTAAATCGTGACGTAATAAACAGGACTCGTTTATACTACGCTGCATCAGGAGTCCTGTTTATTACATCACGTTTTGTTTGCTGCTCCCAACGACGAGTCGACGACATTTACTCAAATTGCACGTTCGGGTCGAAACAGGACCCGAAAAACAGCCTCAAAAGTACCTTTTGTACTCATTTCATGACAGACGCATTAGTCGTTTTTATTTCATCACACCTTAGGCTACATATACCAAAAAAATGACGGAAATGTCTTCGAGCATTCCACAACCTCTTTAAAAAAGTTTGTATTTTTAAACTCATCTGATGCCAGAAAATTAACTTCTCCAATTTCCAATTTAAAAAAAAAAAAACAGCTGAAAAATTTACACAGCTGACAGTGGAAATCAATCAAACGATTTGTAAGAGTTCGTGCCAGGAAGCCCGAAATGACATCCCCTATTGGTACCAAAGTCGATCCCAAGATCTGTTCAAACAATGTTCTGTTCAAACAGTCCAGGCCCTCTGAAATGATTGGTCCTTCATTTTTTTTTAGGAGGTTCTGTGTTTACTTTGTCAATACTTTCGACAAACAGTGGTGTAAGATTAGGATAGCTTGCTGATGATCAAGTGTTGTACTTTGTACTTTTTGCCTATTGAATAATGTTTACGCCCAGCTTAAACAAATTAAAGCAGTAAGCCAGACAAGATCTTTCGGATTTGTTTACAGCAGTTCAAAACAATTTTTTTAAGCCCTCTTCTATTAGTTTAAGCCCTCAGACAATTGTTTTATTTTTTTGTAGCAGATATTGAGATCCTACTAGAATGCTTTGCGCTATAAATTGTAATTATATCGATTCCAACTTTTGATACAAATTTGTCATTTTTCCTTTTGGGTATACATACGGTACATGTACAATTTATTGTCGACAACAATTGGAAGAGGTCACAGGTTTCAGTACTGAAGTATTTTTGTCTTGTAATTTCTCAAAACTATCTTGACAATAATCAGAAAAAAAGTCAAATCAATCAAAGAGTTGAAGTTGGTAAATCTTTCAGAATTCAAAGTTTCAAAAATGCGAAACTTGCTAAATGTTACAAAATTCCAAAGTAGCAAAGTGCGAAACTTGGTGAACAGTGGCAAAGTGTAAAATTTGCTGAATCTTGCAGAATTCAACATAGCAAAGTACAAAACTTACTGAATCTTACAGAATCCAACCAGGAGCAAAGTTTGATACTTGCTATATCTAACGAAATCCAACAGTAACAAAGAGTGGAATTTTCTGAATCTTACAGAATCCAACAGCAGCAAAGTGCGAAACTTGCTGAATCTTAATCTAGATTCCAACAGAAGCAAAGCGTGAAACGTGCTGAATCTAACAGAATCCAACAGTTTCTGCTGTTGTCAACAACCAATGGGGGAAATTGCCTGGTGTTTTGTTTTGCATGATTGGGATAATTTTTTACTTTCACAAGCCTGGTGGGGTTACATTGCATACTTGTTGCATTATGTATGGTTACAGATGCAGTACATGTACTTACACGTAAAAGAAGACTTTTGAAAGAATTTTTTCCCCCCTATCATTTTTCCAGTGGCTGGACGGCTATCTTGGCACTGTCAAGGAAGTCTACACCGAAAACAACACCATGCTATGGAACGTCTTTTACTTGGTGCTGCTGCTGGTTTACCTGGGCTATCTGGTCTGGGCCTGCTACTATGACTTTGAAGAGGCAATGGTTTTGGTGATTATAACTGGCATAGGACTGTGCCTGTACATGTACTCGATCATTAGGGACTACTACGGCAAAGAGATATACAGCCTAACCTGTAAACCTGCCGGCAACTTCGTTGACAAGCACTGGCGATATATCAGATGGTGAGTATGCACAGGCTAAAATGAGACAATGTTGTCACATGCATTTAGAATCCAGTTTATGCGGTACCCGCTGCTATGTACATCAGATTCGAACCGGCCAACCGATCCCGTTAGCTCGGTGGTCGAGTGGTAAGACATCTGCACTAGAAAGCAGGAGGCCGTGGGTTCGAGTGCCAACCGAGTGATTTTTTCCAACTTTCACTCGGGAGGTAACACACTGAGTATACAGTGTTTAAAAAACGTTGGTGAAGGGCAAAACCTAATTTGAATAGAATCCAGTTATTGGTTCAGGTAACCTTGTCAGAAAATACGGCAAATCGTCAGTACATGATGAACGTGTAGGCAATAACTAGATTCTCAATGTGAATGGTAAAAGTGGACTATATATATTCCATCAAGTGCTGTACCTTATTCGACAAAAGTTTTAGCCATTCTGAAAATATATCTGTATTTCTTTCTTTTTTGGTAATGAAACGAACAACTCCTCAAAAGTACCCTAGGCTCTGTAGCTCAAGAGCTTTAAGAAACCTGTAAAGAGAAGACAGTGAGGAGAAATTTCAATCTTAGAGGAAAACCCCAGAAGAATATTCTGGAAAACCACAATATGGACCAGGACAGGAATCGAACCTGGGCCTCAGCGGTGGAAGGCCAGAACAGTAACCACTACGCCAACCTGATTCTCCGAATCAATTGAATAGAATTGTGTGCACTGGGACCAGCTTTACTATTGGCTTGCCCAAGTCTTGTTTAAGCCACCATCAACTGACCACTCTTTACCTCAAATCACAGGCCGTTATATTTGCTGATTTTGGCCGCTGTTGCTGTGGCGTTAGTCTTTCTCACCAAGGATAACCCCGTCCAGCTCATTTCTGCCGCTGGTCTCGTCGCGTTCATCCTGTTTTGTTACATCTTCTCCAAGCACCCAAGACACGTAAGTTGAGGCTATGTCGAAATAGCCGCATATTTCAATATTACATAATGGTACAAATATTTGTCATTGTTTCATTTTTTAATTGCTGAAACTTTTGTTGTAGTTCATTGTACATAAAAATGAGAAGCTACATGTATTTTGTTAATTGTAATATGCGGTTTTGTTCTGCTTTTCCGAAATCCTTCTTCCCAATCCTCCTTCCAGTAATAACGAACACTATGATAAGATGGACATTTGGATATTCCATTTTTGAATTTGACCTGGCCCAAAATGTAAGTTGACCCTCACATGCCTTCAGTGATATTCCATACATTTCTTAAATTCTCTGCAATCCAGCTTGCAGCAAGCTTCGTCTTCAGCCCTTTATGTTGAGAACTGCATTTGTGTTTACTGTTTCCAATCTGATGCTTGCCATATGTTTGTGAGCGAAAATTATAATGAAGATATTGTGTATTGTGTAAGGTGCAATACAGTGGAGTCATATGTAGCTATTTTTGATCTGTCGATTTGCTCCAGTAATTTACAATGTGTTTTAACAGTTTGAGACTGAGCTCAAGGCCCTTTTTGTTAGGAAAAATATTGTGCACAGTCAGAATGTGTTTGTCATATTCGTCCTCTGTTTGACCTATAGTTTGCGTTAGTTATAGTTTGACCTATAGTATTGCGTTGTACTCATTATTGAAACAATAAGGTTGCGGTTTAACGAAATCCATTCAAAAATGTATAACTATTTTTTATCATTTCCACATGAGAACCTCCACAACAGTTTGATAATCTCAACCTTAATTAACTTTAAGCCTTTTTTTTCTATTTAAGTACATCACTAACGGTTTTATTGTCTAGACATTGGGATTCGGTAGGGTTGGCAACAAAATTGTGTGTTTAATAGTCTACGGTAACCCGACGTACCTGGATTATTTTGTGGCCAAATTGCCGACCTCAAACTTTCTATTGCCACATATGGCAATTTTTTTTCACAATAGATTATATACCCCAGTAAATGTAAATTTTGAAACTAAAAAAGTCTTCCCAGCCATTCCATGTAAGGGTCATCACCAAACTCAAAAATTGAAGTGAAAGGAATACATTTTTGTCAGTTATATTTGATAAGAGGAATATTGAAACCATCTAAATCTCAAAAGATTTTTAAAAATAAATCATTTGAATTAAAATTTCAGCCTCCTGAACATGGATGAATTTTGTGGGCGAAACGGAGGGTCAGGGGTATAAATCACAAACTGAGGAAGTAATTGAAGCTCATTCATAAGATTGTGCTTTATCTGCATACATTTGGTAGCTATTCCAGTCTATTTGATAAAACATTGAGAATTTTTCGAAATGTCTTCAGTATTTTCCCACTATTTCATCGTGAAAACACCCTCAAAAATATGTCACGCGAGTCACAAAAAAGGACTTTTTTTCAGATTACTTAATAACTAGAGAGGGATTCAGCTAGTGTTTGATATTTATAAATGAAATAGTGGTGGTCTATCAATAAAAGTATGAATATTCTTATTTGCTCTACATTCCTTGTAGAAAAAACTATCTCAAGAATGTCACGCGAGTCACACATGATGTATGTCACGCGAGTCACCAGGGGTGGATCCAGGAATTTTCGCGGGGGGGGGGGGGGGGGGGTTCATCAGCCAAAAAATTTGGAAATGTACCCACGTTTTTTTCTCTGGACACTCGCTTCCGTAAAATAAAAAACTGGGGGGGGGGGGGGGGCTGGTACCAATTTCAATCGGGGGCGCTGTTCAAATTCGACGATTATTAACACATTACAGAATGGTGTACCGTATTTTGAACAGGCGGACATTAGACCAGTATCATGTTTTGGGGGTGTCACGCGGGGGGGGGGGGGGGGGGGTCGACTTATTCTTCAGGAATTTGTATGAGAATTTTTTTTTTGACAGAGCGGGGGGGGGGGGGGGGGGGGGTGACCCCCCCAAAAAACCCTCTGGATCCATGCCTGGTCACAAGCCAGGAATGTTTCATTTACATGTAATACAAAGAAACAATGCCATAGGCCCTATTAAATTATAGAATTCGAATTAAGTCTTTAAAAGCATTAGGGCAATTCCATGGTAACGGAAGGACGTTTTCACTCATTAAACAAAATTTCAAATGTGTGTATCACAGACACTGATCATAGTTACAGCAAACAAATGTCAAAATTGTATTGCTATAATGCTACTTTCATTTTCCACACTTTTGGGAGGCATGAATGCCTCCCGTTTATAAATTATGAATATTAATGAGGTCGGTAACGGAAGGACGATAAAACGGACAAGGGTTTTCCAACTTACTCGCGTTTTGCGTAAACTCTGTGAATTTTATGGGGCAATTATATTTTAAAGGTAAGAAATGGAATCCCTGAAGCTTTATCTATACTATACCGCCTTTCATTTGACTTTAAGTGTTTCGGTAATATAATTACAACGTTTTAAGCAGATTATGATTTGGTAACGGAAGGACGGTAACGGAAGGACAAAAGGTTTACTCAATTATAGCATGAACAAAATGTGAATTTACACTAATTATACAAGTGAAACAAATGGCTGAAATGTGTAACTGAATGTGAAATCAACAATATGCAGACCTGGCATAAATAATTATACCCAAGAAACTATTGAGATAAAGATAGAAGCCTGCTAATTAATGATAACAAAAGAAAAACGAAAACTACCCAAAACACATAATTCACGAACACAAGACAACTACAGAAATGGACTTCAAACCCATCACCTCAATCCTTAAAAGTTTAAATACACAGTTTTGAGCACTTGAGTATATTTGTTACATGTTTACCAACTACTTTTAATAATAATACCGGTAGGTTCAGTGGTTTACCTAAAGGGGGGGGGGGGGGCGACCAGCCTACATGTACATTTAAGGTAAAAACATCTACCGGTAGAACTGATGGCTTCAGTTAGGTGTTGCTTTTAATTGAACTCTAAAATCAATGTTTGAAATCAAATTACAATGATTTGGAGTAGTAACAATTAATTTATAAACATCCAAACTGCAATTGTTAACTTGGGCATAATTTGTCAAAGATTGCACCTCACATGTCTTACACAAGTAAATTGAATGAAAGTGCCCCAAAGTACCGGTACTTTCTGCCATCTCATTTTTGACTTAATTTGCTTCTGGAATGGCTTCACAGAATTCATATCTTTCTTTATTGTCCATGAATGCTGATGGCAGCAACTTTATGATTTGATTTTCTGCAACAACTCCATACATGTACAAGTACTGGTACATCAGCATGTACATGTACATTGTACATGTTGTACATGCCTGTGCCTTCCTTTGTAATAAACACCTTGCCCTGCTTATCCCGCCTTTGTGAAGGTGGGTCACATGAATGTCCTTTCAATGCTCATTATACATGCATGTATTTGCAGTGATTTTCATTTTTCAAACATGAGCGCGAATGTTGTAACATTTGATAAAAATACGATTTGTCCTTCCGTTACCGTCCTTCCGTTACCGTCCTTCCGTTATCAATTTGGTAACGGAAGGACGTGATTTAATTAATTATAATTAAAAAACGAGAAGTACAGCAGTGTCAGTTATAATGTCATATTGAAGGCCTACCTAAACTTGCTTTGCACAATAACTTTCAATGCATTCATACTGCAAGTTTTAAAAATAAATTAAAAATATGTATTTTTTCGGTAACGGAAGGACATTTTCGAAGGCTGAAATATTAGAAGTCACTGAAGCGAAGCAAATTACGCAAAATGGTAAAAACAAGTTTTAGTCGGTTTTTCAAGACCAATACTTTCTCATGATAGAAACTGAAGGCATTAGTACATATTTTTGTGTGTGTTTTGGTAGAATACTTTCATATCACTATTTATCACATTTTTAGGATTAAAACAGGATTATTACATAATCCTATTTTTTGGTACCGAAATGTATAAAAAATAAAATTCTGACTTCAAATCTTGAAAATACAGACTTTTAGCTTTCATTTGATGCCAAATTTGTTTAAGTCACATGTATTTGAATTTTTTGGTGTCATGTCCACTTTGGTGTGGAATTGCCCATTAGTTATGTAACAAGAAATTGAATCAGTTTTTTACAAATGTATATACATGTACTGTATACATTCCGATACAACTGCATCATTAATTGCAGCTCGATCTTACCATTTAAGGAAACTGTGACTCTACATGACCAAGAATTACAACTGTTTTCCTGAAATAATCACCCGTGGATTGATGACATCACTTCCTAACTAAAATTCCAAAACATTTTTTTCTCTCTATGTCATTGTTAAGGATATTGTGTTTAAACCAGATTTCCACCCCCAACATTTGCCAAAGTAAAGGGATAAAAAGCAGTTTTCACACTCTTTCATAAGGTATTCACAGTTAAATCATTTTTATTAATATAATATTATGATTTGATTCGTTATACTAATATTACAGTTATAATGTGAAAGTGAAAAGCTACTGTGTCACGGGAGTCACGCATTTGTGTCACGCGAGTCACATTTTCTTCAGGCCATTTCTTACAACAAGGGATATTTGGCACAATACAACTTATGCATGTATTGGGTGAGGGTATTAAGTTCTAAGTTCTGTAAGAATAATTTTTAGAACACTGGTAGATCCATAGGAAAAGCTATTTGAATCAAGGGATGTCAAAAATCCCGTTTTCTATCCTGTCATGCGAGTCACGTCAAAGAAACTGTGATACATGAAAAAATAGCGATTTTAAAGTAATCATATAAAGACTAAACCATAAATTCACAGTGCCCTGACTCAAATACATGCTAATTTGAGTTGAATAAATGCCAGGTTAACAACAGTAATGCATTAAAACTTTACATTTTGTTCAAATGTCACGCGAGTCACCATGGAATGGCTGTTCCCTATATCACTTTTTGTGTGTCATAAGTTAATTAAACTATTAAACAGAATACTGCTAAAGGTATAATAAAGTAAGCAAAGTAAGTGTAAAAGTCCGACAGGCAAACTTACAGGTGAAGTAGATCATTTGTCATTTGTGCATTTGTTTCATTTGAAGCAACAAAAGTGCTCAAAATCTAAAGACTGGTGCTTAACAACTAACAGGGGTGTGAAATCTCAGCTTTAAAGCTGATGTCAGCTTTTTTTGTTTTGGATTTCAGCTTTTTTCTCTCACTTGCTGTGTATAAAAATATAGGAGATTTCCAAATTTCAGCTTTTTTACACCTTTCCAGCTATTTTCAGCTATTTTTATCAGTGGTCACTCACACCCCTGAACTAACCTGATGAACTTTTAGCTCTGTGAATGCTGTACATTCTGAGAAAACAATATTCTAGGATCTCGATATATTTTAAAAAGTGTGTGAGGTCTACCTTCCTCAATCCTGTAAAATCTTCCAAATTTTCCTACATCAAGACCAAAAAAGGGGCAGGGTCAATGGAAAGCCATATTAGACTCCAGAGGTAATGAGATTTATCGTTTCATCTTGTTTTTGCCACTACCGATGAAAATTGTATCCCTGATTTTGGTTTGTTTTGGTGCAGGTCAAGTGGCGGCCCGTCATTTGGGGACTTGCCTTGCAGTTCATCCTGGGTCTGTTCATTTTGCGCACGTCCATCGGATTCCAGATCTTTGATTTCTTGGGCGTCGTGGTGCAGACTTTCCTTGAGTTCACCGATGCCGGATCTGAATTTGTATTCGGCGCAGGTTTCCAAGAACACTTCTTTGCTTTTAAGGCAAGTGCTTCGTTTTTCTATCTGCATATCGTTTAGCTGTTTTTTATATTTCCCTTTTTATAAAAAATAGTTTTCATATTCCAGTTTTGATAAATTATGGTTTAAAAAAAAAAGAGGTTTGGTCCCATACATGTAAGTAGCTTGATCTGATACACCGTGCCCTCTGGAGACATGCACACATTAGGGAACAAAAGATTGTAAACATCTCCACAGGGCAATTTCTATCATAGATGAATACATCTCCACAAGGTTATCACGAAATAGATATATGGACTTTACTCAAAAACTATGAATTTCCAAGGTGGGTTGATCTGTCGCAAATGGAAGAGTTTTAGAAAAGGGATATTAAGTACAAATTTCAGCCAAGGAAGTTAATTCTGGTTAAAATAAGAGCATTATGAAACTACACTTTCAAACTCGAAAACTTTACCACACGAGAACAAAGAAATGTCTCCACAAGGATACAAATTCCAGTATGGGTGAACATCTATTTCAGTTTATGCTCTGGAAGTTTTAAACAAAGATAATGATTTTACTTCTGTAAATAAAGTGCACAAAATACAGATTACCCGCTGGGGCATTCATTTCAATGCAATATTCCTTTATATAGCTGAATTTTACTTCGCGGCCATTTGATGACAAGATTAGTAGACAAAATTTGACCAACACACTCAACAAAATACAGAATTTTCAGATTGACCCCCTGGTTGATAATCTTTGGGTGTTGCAGTTTAAGCACAACAATTTCTAGTCCGTTCACATACATTGTACTTTTGCCTTATAAAGCCTCTCTCTTTACAAAGCTGCATATATCGTTTTGTAAAGATTTGACCTCCATTCACAAATCTCATGCCTCTTTGAGCAAATTGAACTAGGCATTTGACAAATATATGTACATGTACCTATAGGTGGGTCAACAATTGTCGCTACAGCACTTGTACACTGATTTTGAAACACAAACCATGTCTCTTCATCATTCAAAGGATTACACCAAAATGCCAGTGAATGCTCTCAATCTGCACCAGTGTGTAGCCGTTTTGAATCAGTTGAATAGAATTTTGCGCGCTATGGGACAAGCTTTACGAGGCTTTTCTTGCCTTGTTTAACTTGTGATTGACTCGTGATTATATTTGTGACAGACTTACGTTTAACTTGACTGCCGCTCAAGATCAGTGCAATGTCATTATCTGGTCTCTACCCGCCCTGGTACCCATATATACTCCTAGGTGGAGAGGGGCAATTGTAGTGGAGTGTCTTGCCTAAGAACGTAAGCACCATGTTCCCGTCAGGGTGCAAAACCCACGTACCGCACCATGGCACGCGAGTCACACACCCTTACCACTGGACCACAGGTTCCTATATGTGACTGATTAACCAATCGCTTGAATTTCATTATTTGTCTTTTTAACCTTTCAGGTTCTTCCAGTAGTGATCTACTTTAGCGCTTGCATTTCCATCTTCTACTACCTGGGCGTGATGCAGGTTGTCATAGCCAAGCTGGCCTGGCTCATGCAGAAGACTATGCACACCTCGGCGTCAGAATCCCTCAATGCTGCCGGAAATATCTTCGTTGGCCAGGTAAAAAATATGGTGTCTTGCTTCTGATAGTGTGCCAGGAAAAATGTGAAATATCTACATGTATGCATGGTAATTTTGTTCATATTTAAATACAGATTCGATCAGCTTTTTAAAGGCTTGCGTAAAGAATAATTAATTCAATGTTGACTTTTTTCAAACAATTTAGCTGTTTGTATGCATATTAGCAGATGTGGAATTGGAATCAACTTAATTTTGTGTCAGTCAGGTTGAACACGAAGTTTCTTAAACAAATTTATCATAAGTAGAGAATGCTTGAGATAGGCAAAAGTTTTACTGGATACATTTAAATTTTGAACATTTTTTTGTTGAATTACAGTACGTACAGGGTAATTTGGATGTCTTTGTACACTTAATACATGATATACCGGTTCCTCAGTTTGTGGTACGACAACTATCAGTCATGAGATTTTTTTAGACTTTTGTCTGAAATCAGACTTTTTGAATCTTAGAGAAAGATGCGTCTTTCTGACATTTCATCAAGTTTCAGACTTTTTTTTTTAAATTGACAATCTCATCCCTGCAACTATACAGGAAATATCAATTTGTTGTATCAATTTGACTCCGTGCACAGGTACCCCCTCCATGGTTAGAAAGGGAGACTTGGGAAAGACCACTGGGGTGCATTTGATTACATTGCTGATGACACCTGATGCTCATGAGAAGATGTTTTACCCTAACTCCCTAGGCCTTTTTGCTAGGATGTAGCCTCAATCCTGCAAAATCCTCCAATTGGCCTCGTGGAAAAATAGCATATAGCCTCAATCCTGCAAATTCCTCCATTATTTCTTGAATATGGTCTGTGGAGGGGTGACAACTGCCTGAGTCCTGCAAAATCCTGCAACAGTGACTGTCAATATGTTGAGGCTTGGCCAGTGACATCCTGGAGCAGTAAGGAGGATTTCAAGCATAATCCAGGCCTATATTTATGCATGGCTGAGCAAAAACAACACAAGGTCTGGCCCAAGACCTTGTCAAAGTGCATCCTACGCAATCAGTATTAACGCACTTTTGCCATGTAACCTCAATCCTCCAAATTCCTCCACTTTGGCAAAGAGGATTTTGAAGGATTCAGGGCGGTTAGGGTTAATAAGTCTTGTGTACTTTGAGCCAGTACGTGCACACGGTGTGTCCCACTGGGCTCTCAAAAGTGGTCACCAATGCCATCTACTTTACATGTATGGAGTAGATACCATAGGTTGATGGAGTGTTTCTTATTCAGTTTTTTCCCCTTGTTTTCTTTTCTTTTGAGCAGACTGAAGCTCCTCTTCTCATCCGTCCCTATCTACCCAGGATGACCCGCTCTGAGCTCCACGCCGTCATGACCGGTGGCTTTGCCACAATCGCCGGCAGCGTCCTGGGTGCCTACATCTCCTTCGGTATCAGCGCATCCCATCTACTCTCCGCCTCTGTCATGTCGGCCCCGGCAGCGCTGGCCATCTCCAAGCTGTTCTACCCGGAGACGGAAAAGTCTCAGACGAAAACGGCCGCGCAAGTCAGGCTGCCCAAAGGGTGAGCCACACAAAAAAACAACTGTATAATCTGACACCCCTCCCCCAAATTTGTTGTCAATTTTGTTGCAACTGTGAACCCTAACCCTCCCAGAGGATTCATTTGAAACCCTTACGAAACCATTGAGCCCAGAAAGGCCTCGTCTGGAAACCATAGTGCCCACAGGTGCCCAATGTTTTCACCTGTCTGTTTCTACATGTGTAAGCAATGTGGAAAGCTGACCGTTTTTAAACCTCGACCATACATGTATGATATACAGATAAGGTTAAGACCTTACAGATTCTAGTTTCTATTTGTTGTTTTTATGAAATGTGAGTAAACAATATTAACAAACAACATTTGTCTAAATTAGAGAGGCTCTGGATGTACATCACAGCGAAAAATGTGGTTTAGTAATCATTATGGTACACGGGGTTTCATGCCTCCTTGAAATTAAGATGACAAAGATTGTATTATTGGTTTTCCTGCATAGTGGAGGATTATTTTTAGGGTTCCAGTACATTTCCAGCCAAAATGCTTAAGGAGTAAAGGTTAAACAGGAAGTTTTGTTACTTCAAATCCGTTTTTATATGTGTGGTTCTGAGAAGAACCTCTGTACAAAAAATGCTTTAACAGCTTTTCGCAAAAGAGATTTGTTGTCACATGGTGTCGCGGCAAACGGCCTCTTATAGTGACCCAACCACGCAAACCTTCTAACCGTATTGTCGGTCAGTTGAGTATACATACAGTTTGTAGGATTGCAACAGTGTACTTTGCCCTGTGCTTACGATAAGGTTTTATTCCCCTTTTTATAACCCATTTACTGCTACCGGTATCTGGGACTACAGAATACACTGCACTAGTGAACTGATTATGCTTTGCATTGGGTCTGGAAAACTGCCATAATCAGAGTCCAGCAGTTTGGGTATTGAGTATGGTGTTGCGAGTTTGCAAGGAAGGATCCTAGTTTGTCATTGAAGGGGGTTAGGGTTCATTTTATTTTGAAAAGCATGCATAAAGTAGCCAGGGGCAAGCATTCCTTCCAAACCCATAAAATTGCAGCAGGGTAAAAAGAAAGAAGAAAAAAAAAAGCAAAGTGGGATATAAACGCTAACCCTAACCCCAACCCTTGCTGATTCAAAACCAGCCTGGAGATTTTGGAGAGTTCGCAGTAAAAAAAAAAACATTGGGTTTCTGCACAGAGACGTATCCAGAGCTGCCAACTCTCCCTGATTCTGCAGAAAGTTCCCTGAAAATAAACCAATCTGTCCATGTTCTGATGAACAAATGTGAAAGTCTCCCTGATTATGGAAACTTTTGTTCCTATTGTGTTGAATGTAATTCTAAATATCTCCCTGATTGTCGTACACAATCTCCCTGATTGCAAGATGCAACTGTTGGTAGCTCTGCGTATCTGCAGAAAGAAGAGTGAAGTAAAAAGAACTTTGCTTGGTTCTGCATATTTTTGAAGATTCAGGAAGGTCTCGAGAAAAAAAATTGGAGTTAAAGGGAATGTACATCATTGGCTTTTGCTGTAATTTTCAGAAATGAACTATTTGAGGGGATAGTATAATAGATCAAATATTGTTACACTGACTTTTTTGAAGTTTGGGTTCGAAAAGGTTGGAAAAACCAAGAAAAACAAAAATGTTCAAGTAGTCTGGTTCCCTGACTCCACAAAAGATAAAATGAATCAATTTATAGATGATGGAAAATTGTAAGGCAAGGGAACCAGTCTAGCTGGCCTGCACCCGTTCATGAACATGTGACCAATAGGGGTGCATACCTGCAAATAAACTCCCATAGACACTAGTGCTAAATGCCCATACTTCAAAATTCTTTTAAAAATACTCAAAACTCTCACAGGTATTCAAGCTGCACAGAAAAATGATGATCAATGTGTCATCTTTCATTTTTTTTTCAATTTATGGTGGGTTGACCATTGACTTTTCGAGATATTTTCACGCAAAGAAGACAACCCCTATTTTCCCCAAAGCGGAAAAGTAGCCATCTTGAAAAACGATCCCTCCACAACATGGCAAAATAGCGCCACTTTCGAGCCCAATAGCATCCAAAATGCTCAGAATTGGAAGCCCCAAGTCCGGGCCAGAGGTTCACTACCATATCTCTTCAATTCCCCAATTTTACGGCGCTCAGAACTCTCTAATATAGAATATTTTGAGGGTATAACTTTTATTCATGAGCTTGGCGGATCGATTTACCGGTGTGCACCCATAGCAAACAAAATTTGGACTGATAAATGGTAAATTTGGAGCAGTAGTTGAAAAATAGTTAGGTTTTTCCAACCCTGGTCGGCCGACCACCATTGGAAATGTATACAAAAATACCATTTTCTTGAAAATGACTTCACACCAGGCGCCATAATTTTACAAGATGCTTGAGACTGTCATTTACCGGTACCAACATTCTAGTAAGGTATTTCGTAAAAACTTGGTAGTTTTATTTTTCAATGTTTACAAATGTTGTATATTCCCTTTAATTTGGATGTTTTTGACTTTGTTCTGACCAGGGAGGAGAGGAATATCATAGAGGCTGCATCAACCGGTGCGTCGACAGCCGTCATGTTGGCGTTGAACATCGGTGCCAATTTGATCGCCTTTCTGGCCCTTCTAGCCCTCGTGAATGGCCTACTGGGATACCTGGGGGATAAAGTGGGCATCGACGGGCTCAGCTTTGAGGTAAGACTAACATTTTGGGTTTAAAGGGAATATACATCATTTGCTTTGGCTGTAATTTTCAGATATGGATGGAATTGGGGGGTTGGGAATATATAGCAAATATAGTTACACTGACTTTTTTGAGGTTTTGGGTTCGAAAATGCTATAAAAACCAAGAAAAACAATCATTTTCCTGTAGTCTGGTTCCCTGACTCCATATAAGAAGAAACAGAGCAGTTTACATACATTGGGGAATTGTAAGGTCAGGGAACCAGTCTAGCTGGCTCGTACCCGTTCATAGGTTTGTAATCGATTGCAATCAAGTGCGATGGTCAGTTGGGGCCAGTATTTGAAAAAAAAGCCAGTTTTTTTCCAACGCTGATCGGCCGATCAGCGTTGGAAATTGATACAAAAATACCACTTTTCTTGAAAATGACAGTATACCAGGTGCCATGATTTTATAGGATGCTTCACACTGTCATTCACTAACAGTCCAGCAAGGTATTTCAAAATGATTTGGTAGTTTTATTTTTTGATGTTTGCAAATGTTGTATTTTCCCTTTAACTTCAACCTGTGAATCTGAACTTTGCTGGCTAAAGTATGCTGCTGTTCAGTATTAGGGGTTCCCACAGTCATGGGAACTCCTGGAATTTAAAGTTCCCCGGTATTTGGAAAGTCATGGGATTTTTGAAAAGTCATAGAATCCTGCACAACCCATACGTGATGATGGGTAGTATTATACAGGGTGAGTAAAAAAAAACCCCGAAACCCAAATGTTGGGACCATATTTTTTTAGGGAAATTCTGCATGTAGCACTTTCATTATCTAGGATATGAAAGCCCAATTCACAAGCTTTCTTTTAGTACAAGAATCATTCAAATCACTCATGTACTTTTCAAGTTACGGAATATTAAACACAACCACCGTTTTAAGGTTCTGTCCACGGATCACCAAAAAGGTGTGCATTCTTTCAGCAAAATGAAATTAATTCACACACATCCCTATGTGATTTGTTTTCGTTTTTCTGAAAGAACACTGAACTTTTTTTGCGATCCGTGGACAGAATCTTAAAACGGTGGTTGTGTTTAAAACCCTGTAACTTGAAAAGTACATGAGTGATTTGAATGATTCTTGTACTAAAAGAAAGCTTATGAATCAGGTTTTCATATCCTAGATTTTGAAAGTGCTACACGCAGAACTTCCCTAAAACAATGGTCCAAACATTTGAGTTTCGTTTTTTTTACTCACCCTGTATTTGGTTAGGTCAGTCTTCAGTTTGCATTCCAAATTTATGCTGGGAAGATGGTGACAGGATGCCTTGTACTGTGCATTTGGTTTCCAAATTAACTTTAAAATGTGGGCGGATCAGATGGTTGCGAGGGGAGGTGGAGCCCATCTTGTTGATGGTAATGCATACATACAGCATAGACCTTTATTTTCCGTGTGATGACCGGCCAGTGTATTGTACACATAGGCTCCTAAGGTGCCAAAACAGCATAGGAATTGGAATGCCTTTATTATGTCCTGGTAAAGTCATGGAAATTTCTTTTAAGATTATTTAGGGAACCCTTTCAGGGGGAAATTATTTTCCAATAAACTTTTGGACAGCACTTAACTTACAGTACTTCTTTATAAACTTACATTGACTAACAAAAGAAAAGACAATTTACTTCTTCCCAACGCAAAATTCCATTAAAAGTTGCTGACTAAAAGAGATTGTGAATACTGTTTTTCTCTGCAGCTGATCTGCTCTTATGTCTTCATTCCCGTCGCCTTCCTAATGGGTGTGGAATGGGACGATTGCCGTATCGTGGCCGAGCTCATCGGCACAAAGACGTTCATCAATGAGTTTGTGGCATATGAACGCCTGGCCGTTTACATCAACAACAGAGATAGCGAGAGAGCCACGATATCGGTAAGCCTGTCTGAGTTGGTGAATTGGTGTAAAAAGTGGGCAATTAACTTTCTGTAATAAAAAAATCATGACGTAAAGCTCCATTACTGGCTTATGTACACGGAAGTAGCACCAAAGAAAATCTCCCATGATTCCCCAAAAAAGGGGCAGTGAGTAAATTGCAGTTTCAATATGGGCATAGATGTTCTGTGACATGGGAAAAATCTATAGCGTGTTACCAACGAAGTGCATTGCCCCTCTGTAGTATTGTTACTTTAACCCTTTTCCTCAGACTTCTATGCCGATTTCGTTCATGGTTTCAATAGATCTAACACAAAGTCCGTGGAAACTGGGACCAGGAGGTTGAAAGCATTTACTGAAAGGATTTTTTTAGTAATTGAATTTATTGGGGCATAACCGCAATAATAATTTCCCAATGTAATCATAAAAGTAGAAAAATAATTGGACTATTATTTGTGGAAATCCGTGATAACATTTTCCTGTTTCAATTTAAAAAAAAAACAAATTGTGAGAAAACAAACATGATTAATTTGTTCCGAGCTTTGCAATTAGGGTGTATTTCGGTCAGCTCAGAAACAAAAGCTGAATTGAATGGGCTCAATTATGAGTTGATCTGTATTTCCATACCTCCTGTCTTCTGCTCTTTATGTGACAACCATACGATCCACTTACATCAATTCGGCACTCTCATTTTGCGTGATAAGAAATAGGGAGCGTGTTTCCGTAGAAACTGCAAACTTGTCAAATACGCATGGACTGCCATGTGCGCGTCGCGTCACAGCTGAAGTGCCACGAATCTGCGAACTTGGAATAAAATGGCTTCCTTCTTTTGTCCGACGCGTAACCAAACATTTTCCCAATTTCAACAGCATGACTTTCACAATTCTTTATTAAACTTCCCTTCACCGGCTTCAGTATTGCCATGAAATATTATTTCCTCTGTACCTCATTGCATGACGGACACGTTTTTTTTTTCTCCGCAAGACTTGCATGTTCTAACTGGTGCTTGGGGATGCAAACTTTTGCTGAAACATTCTATCAACCTAATGCATTAAGGAAATAGAATTAAAAAACGAAGATACATTTGATGTTTCCGTTCTTCTTAGTTCATGCTATGCTGTATCTTAAATGGTCTTTCTCTGCATGTAAAACGTTTGTAAATTCTTCCGCTTGAGTTTAATTTAAAATAGTTTGCTGTGCCTGACACATGAGCCCTTTGAAATGTACACATAACTCCATTATTATAACGCATGACAGATTTTTGTTGATTTTGTGGACTTTTAGCAGGTTGCCCGCAATTTTGAAAATCTGAAAACAAGTTGAATTGAAAAGCCGTTCTTGCAAATACTAGTACAGTTGAAGCATTAGGCAAAACCCATTCAGCCTACTAAATTTTTTTGTCACTGGAATTCCAGTGCAGTTGATGTTCACCCCTAAATGGGACCTAGTTCTTTTCTGCTTGATCTCCTGTCAAAGTTCAGCCAATCAGTGCCGCGATTGTGCCATTCCATGGCCGACATACTAAACCTGATCACCACAAACATAGACTCTTTGGTATGAAGAAAAAAGCACGGCCACGTCCATACTTTTACAGCTTTTCTGTTGAACCGCCAGACCGTGAAAGCTGAACTTTTTCACCCTCGCATATTTTTTTTGAGTTGGAATCAGGACGTCTGTAAACATGATCAATCATACTAATGACAGGTGCTAGTTCCTTTTTTATCTGAAATGGCATTCATATATTTGAGGAACCGTCATGCATATCTAACTACCCTTTGCATACTTTTCTGCAAGTTACAAAGTAAATTTGCGTTTGTTAAGCCAAAGTTTTGGTCGTGAAAGGAAAAGGACTGAAAAAAAAATTGGCAAAAAGTCAGAAAGCATTCTTGAGCCACTGGCGCATGCTCGAAATATTCACAATAGTTTCCCACTATGGGACTACCTGTACTTCTTAATATTTTTTTTTTACAGTGAAGTAAAAACAAAAGAGAAATACATTATTTTTGCTCAGTTTTTTTTTGCATGTTAAAATATAAGGACAGTTTTACTTTTCATTGTGATATTGTTCAAAATGAACAAAAAGTATCGTCGCATGCTGCACCTGCTTACATAAAATTACCCATTTTCTTTATATTTAATGGCAAACTGCCCTGCTGAAAGTCCAAAGTTTGGTGTTATATATATTTTTTCCCCTCAAAATATTCACATTTTTGCTCAATTATACCATGCATGCTGCTCCTTTTGTTTAAAAAAGAAATTGCACTCTCTATCCCTCCCACCATCTGGCCCTCTTCTCGGTACACCGTCTGTCTGCAGCTGCGGTCCCAAGTCATCGCAACCTACGCTCTCTGCGGCTTTGCGAATCTAGGCTCCATCGGCATTCAGCTGGGCGGAATGACGCCCATGGCTCCCTCTAGGAAGGGCGATTTGGCATCGGTGTCCATTCGCGCCCTCATCGCCGGCACGGTGGCGTGCTTCATGACAGCCTGCATAGCCGGTAAGTCGGTGTCATTATATACGTAAGGCCTAGAGTGTTCTTAAAAGCCTAGTTTTAGATACACATGTACTATGCAAATAGTAAGGACACATGTAGAATGTGTTTGCTTCAATTTGCGTACATGTACATGTAGGTGCTTGTTCTATAATTCATGGAGGCTTAAAGAGCGTAGCTATATTCATTTCTTCCACCCGAAATTGATAAATTGCTTTTACAATCTGCCAATCATTTCAAGATTTCATGCCATGTAGGTTGCGGACAGGGAGAGCCACATTTTCATGAACATCTTTCTGCCTGCTTAAAAGCTTGGTTCAGGCATTGTCTATTGGTTTTGGCTGAGTGTGGGTCTGAGGCTAATAGTATTATAAAACAGGCTTAAACTCTACTTCTTGAGTAAATCAGTCCAGACTTGACTTGAGTACTGGCTCAGCTTGAGATTGTACAGTAATGCACTCGTGATGAGTTGTACTATGAGTAGGTGGCAAGAACAGGCTTGGCAATTCATTTACAATTTAAAAACTTCAACAAAAAAATAGTGGTTTTGAGTCTGAATCATATTCATTCAACTTTTCCAGCCATGACATAAGTGAAGTTGGGACTTAAAAGCCATTAACAGATTTGGACTGCAGTGGACTCTTACTTCTACATTTCTACATTACTTACATTTCGCTGTTTTGCTTTAGCACCTCAGTATGGGCCAATTTTATAGTACTGCTTTATGATAGTTAGCATTGAAAATAGTGCTTATCATCGCAATTTGCACAGCCTCGTCCACCTGACCCGAGATTTATTTTGTCACAGTAAGCTAGTTCGGTATCTCGAAGTAGTCCATGTCAAAAGGTCATTTGGGATAAACTCGCTGACGTGATGATACGTGACGTTACGCGGACGCCCATTCTGCTTGTAATTAACACGCAAGCGTCGTGCGCCCGTCTCCGTACGCATTCATGCGCCTTCGATGAGTGTTCGATTATCCGGAATGACCTGTGACCCATATCATTGTGCGCATGCGCAGTTGCAATACCGAACTTGGCTTATTGTGAGCTAAATCTGTGTCTGCAATTACATTCTGCATGGTGTGCTTGCCGCACACAATCTCATTAAATGGATAGAGGCTGTGTTAGCATCAAAGCATGCGATTAGCAGCACAATGAAACCTGGCCCTGGACTGAACTATTTCACTCATATGTCGGTTACATGTATTCTCAAAACTCTCATAAGGTTCTCTCATAAGTTTTCTCTCATTCATTTCATTTTCTGTCATTCAAGAAACATAGATCCATGTCATGAAAACAGTAAAATTAAGGCCAAGTTCGGGCAAGGACCATTAGTCGACTAGTGGTTGATTTGTGACGTACCTTACGCCTGCGCACTGATAGCAACGTGTGAACGTCTCTAGTCAAACGCTGGTCAAAATGTCATCGCAAAACTTCTGGATCCTGGCTCTCTGCTAGCGTTATGAATGCGCGCGGCTATTGGTTACCAGCGAAGCAACCAACCCCAGTAGGCTGGTTCCAAATAGTCGACTAGTGTGGTCAACCACCGTTGACTAGACAGAGTTCGGGCAAACGTTAGTTAACCATTGGTCAACTATAGTCCTTGCGCGAACTTGGCCTAAGATTATGTAATCAATTTTGAGAAATTGCTGGGTTTTCAATTTTCTGGTGTTATGTCCTGCTTCACAACATTTTCACTGCTTGAAAGAACTGTTGGTTAAAGGGCTATACTTTCTGGGAGCGACCGGTATATGTATGATCACTGCATGTTGCTGTGTAGTTGTTAGCAATGCACTTCATGTGCAAGACTGTAAGCTTGTGATAGCCATCTATTATCAGCTTCATTGAACACACACATGGGCAATTCCACGGTTACTCTTGTTACATTTTTGATGTACTTTTGAGTTTCCTTGGGCTGTAATTACCTTACTGAAAAGGTTTAATAGCTGTTATCCCCATGGTAGATAGTAGACCTAGACCTACCTAAGCACCAAAGATGACATCCAGAAAAATGTGTTATGTGTGATAAACAAGACGCACAAAATCGGTTACTCACGTTACAAAAGTGTAACCAATTTTGTGCGTCTTGGTATCATACAGGTACATAACACATTTTTCTGGATGTCATCTTTGGTGCTTAGGTAGGTCTAGGTCTACTCTATCTACCATGGGGATAACACTTATTAAACCTTTTCAGTAAGGTAATTACAGCCCAAGGAAACTCAAAAGTACATCAAAAATGTAACTCGAGTAATCGTGGAATTGCCCACATGCATTTCATACCAAGTCTAAGAAAGTATCTTTAGTTGAAGGTATGTACAATGTACGTGTATATTGCTCATTTGTCACATTGCTAAATTCACAGTTATATGGCTATCATGGTTACATGGTCACTTATTTTCAACAAACATTGCAACAAACAACAAACACATAAACTAGGCAGGCAAAGAACAGTAGAAATAGCATGGCACACTTCAACTACAAACAATCCCGGTAGAATATTTTCTCTCTCTGCTTGTAATACAAATCTTCTGGAAAAAATGCATAAAACCAAATGGCTCAATTAAGTTATATACTTGTAGTGCTAGAATTGCTCTGCATACGGTGCATTTTAAGAGCTTGTGTTTATTTGTATTATTTTTTTTCTGGAAAACGGGTATTTTACGAACACTATTTTATGATTGCTGTAAATAGCCTTCTTACTAACCCTATTACCCTTGCACAAAATTATGTGGACAGATCAATTTTGAGCTTGAAAATCATTTCATTAAGTTACAGTGCACTTACATGTAGCACAAGATCCTTTCGAAATAAACCAGTTCGGTATCTGGATGAAGAAGTCCAGGTTAAAGGTCATTCGGGATAACATCGATGACATGCAATGTTACGCGAACGCTCATTCTGCTTTTTTTTTATACAGGGGAGCGTCATGCGCACGTCTCTCTGCGCGTTCATATCCCCATGACCCTGACCCACATCATCATGGGCATGCGCAGTGGAAATACCGAACTGGCTTATTATAAACTGCTGATAATGACCAGTCTTCGTCTTGCTGAGGACCATCCTAATTCTTCAACAAAACCAAAACCGCAGTTAGATAACCGTTGAAGCAAATCAAGCTCCATGTAATGTTAGAGTTACTGGGCTCAAAATTCTACATTGATCAAGAGTATCAAACACAAGCTTGGGTTGGCTTTCACAATGTGTAATATTACTGAAAATTCTTTCCACTTTTCTTGCAGGTATCTTGTATGTGCCTTTTGACGAACGGATGATAAGTACGACTGCTTTGCCTGGTGGCATTGGGCCCATCATTAACGCGACGATGCCATCTACATTATAGCCGAGGACAAAATCCATTACACCATCTTCACTGTTAAAAAAAAAAAACCTCTGTGCCGCAACAACAATCTGGGCAATTTTGTGCTTATATTGGATGAGTTCGATTTAAAGAATGAGCAATAGGTTTTGTTTTTATTAAAAGGCTGGTAAGAGTTTGTGGCACCGAGTCTGCATTTTCACTCTCTGAGTCAAAAGTCTAGCAGATTTAACTTAAAATAATTTGAGTATGGGAGGGGGGATAGGAAAGGCTCAAATTTGGTTTGAGAGAGATTAACAATCAGGTAGATATGTAGAACATATAATTATATTCACAAACCCACCCATCCACCAATTCAAAAAAAAAAAAAATGAAAGAATGAAGAAAAAGTTGTAGTTGCAACAGCTCACCAGTGACAATGCCTGCCACTGCCCTAACACTGGGACCACTAACCTTTCAACAACAACAGAAAGTATAGTGAGCTTGGGCCATTTTTTCAAATCTTGACTTTGTTACCAGTTCAACTTCATCTTGGGCTCTGGAAACACGTTGAAGCAGTTACTGTACAAACTGGGCAATGCTGCAAACTGTGGCCTAACATTCTATGATTTGATATTTAAGTGGCCACAACAACACTGAGCCAAAAGCTCTCAGCCCAGGAGTCTAAATTCATGAAAGCCGAGCCTGAAGCGAAATAGCTTAGCACAAAGCCCCAAGTAATGCCCCTCACATGTTCAAGCTCGACACACGTGGTACTTTTCGCTCAATCAAGCGTTGCTAACACTTTTTAGTGTCTAACCAATGGGAAATCGTTGGCAGCATTTGGCAACAAGTGAGATGCACCCAGGGACTAGTAACATGTAAGTTCAAAGGTCAGATAAGGTCAAAGGGTCATATAAGCTCATTCTCAGGGGCGCAATTGACACAAAAAATACCAACATTGCCAATTCTCTCTTTTGTGCATATTATTTGTGAAGTCTTCCAACTTTTACATGAGTTAAATACACCCCTGTTTTTAACAAACTTCAAGTGCCTAACTTTTATACAATGATCCATGAATCTGTAGGGCTAATTATGTCTTCCAGTGTTTTTATACGGTAAATGTACTATAAAATTGGAGCATTTTCAGGACTATACATGCTAAATTTAAACAGGATCAGTTGGTTTTTATTCAGGTGGTTTATGCAATTTTTAATTAAATATTTCTTATAAACAATGCAGATACAACCGTGAGAATAATCCACATGTATTCATGTTGTAAAGTTTGTTGGGTAATTCAGTGTAATGAGGAATTTGTGTTTAATCTTCAGATAACCATTAGAATCTGTAACGTAGTGCAAAAGCCCAATTGCCAGTGTTAGAAGAATGTCACAAATGTGTGTGTGTGTGCGTGTACCCAGAAACAGTTTCCGAACCTTGAAGGAAAAGGACACCATGTTGTGTCCATGTTCTTTTTTTTATCAAGTCTCATATTGAAATTCTTTACATTCTTTTAAATATGGTACTTTTGATTCTAATTTTTAGATCAGCCGCCAAAATCGAAATTTATTTTAACAATTTCAAGGTCTCTGTATTCCTATTTAGGTTTTTCTGGACACCAACTGCCTTTGTTCAGTTACTTGAACATGATTTTGAAGATTTAATATTGTACAGCTTTTCGTGTTGATGCAGTAAGCTTATTAATGAGAATTAGATTTTATGGTGGTAAATCGTCAGCCTTAGTGATATTTAATTTTAATGAATCAACATGTTTAAAAAAAGGGGACATACTGTCGCTACCAAGTCAGTAAGCATTATTAGAATTTGAAAAATTACTTTCTTATGGGGGGGGGGGGGTATCAGAACCGACTACCTGACCAATGATGGCAGAAACTGGTTCCAGATTTTGGCATCAGGTATCCATAATCAAATTTACAAATCACTTAGTAAGTTCTCTGCCAATGAAGAAGAAAGGGTGTGTATGCCATTTTTAAGCACTTTTCAAAATGAAAACCAGGGAACATCCGTAATCAAATTTACAAATTACTTGGTAAGTTCTCTGCCAATGAAGAAGAAAGGGTGTGTATGCCATTTTTAAGAACTTTTCAAAATGAAAACCAGGCAACGTGGAAAATCAAAATGGATTCACGTTTCTTTTTCAACATAGTAAATTAGTTTCTTTGTAGACAGACATACAGCTTTCCCCTTGGTGAATATGATTCTGTCATTTTTCTTCTGCCAGAGTATGGCATTAGGAAAGAAAACTAGGTATACTTTAGCAGCTTGGAATTTCTGTGTAAAATTTTTTTTGGGGGATGGCTTGTCCATTATGAGGAAGAATGTTGAGATTTTGTTGAAGATTTTGAGAATGTTGAGATTTTGTTGAATGTTGAAGTTTGCATGGAAAAGGATGAAGCCTTGGTTAGTCTCCTAGCAACATGCGAGTGCAAGAAGATCATTGGTGGCTTTTGTTTTTCCATTGTAAATAAGAGATGATTGTTATACGAGGTTGTAATGCCAAGGTTTGTGCGTGTGGAAAATGCTTTGGGGGAAGAGTTACGCCGTGTCTGAATAACTTGGCTACGGCTGGAAAATACACACAAGTCTATATTTAGCAAGTTTCCTTGCTGAACACAAATCGGGTGGGAACCAGTTGCAAGCAATGAACAACAATGGCATTTTAGCTGGTAACTTAGTTTGGCTAAGCTGGTACATTTTGGGCTTAGCAAGTTCCATTGCTCAGCATGTATGTATACATGTATTCCTTAGCAAACTTCCTTGCTAAACAAAAGTTAGTTGGGAACCACTCGCAAGTAATGTTCATATGAAATTTTGGCTGGTAACTCATTTAAGCCGCACAAATATATTCTGGACTTCAGAATCATTTCTGGCATCAGGTCCATGAAAATACACAACTGATAATGGTGTTGGGGTCTGTCCTGTCAGTTTATATAGATTGCTGTGATCAGTGTTGTAATATGCAATTTTATGGCTTCAAGCATCAAGATATTCTGCAATATATATTGTTATTTGTGTGTGTGTCTCCAAGTAAGGCCTACACTACAGTGAGGCTACTGTCTCTTGAGTCAGTGAAAAGACATGGTCTTGGCTTCTGGGAACAAGACCAAGATGTCGGCACACTGAAAGTCTATATGCATTCAAATGAGTGGATGCTTATCTCTATCATTGTGAATAGTCTTAAACAAGAGGAACTTATTTATCAAATTCTTAAATGTTCTTCCACGGTTGAGATATACTTATGAAGGTATTGCATGTTGTTTTTTTAATTATTCCTGTATAGGTAATATATTTGCAGTTTTTATAACTTTTTTGAGAGCTACTTAAATCTGTAAAATAGGACATTTGGAACTTTTGAGGTTTGTTAGGGGAAATGGTTGTTTATTTTGTAAGAACTTAACTGATCAATTTCTCATTCCAAGTTTTCCTATTTAATACAGAAACGATGTAAATAGTATATAATGAATGTGTGTTGGTAAGACTCAACTTCGGCAATGCAAACTTAGAAATACAATCTTAATACTTAATTAATATAGCCTTGTACAGTTAAATCAAAATTTAAAGTTAAATTTTTTTTTTTTTTCCATTGGATATTTTTTTAAGCAGTTTGGACAAAGGAGGCAGTTTTACCAGAAAATTATGTAAATTTCCACCTACATAACACTGCCCAACTGGAACAAGGGACCAGTGATACTTTTGTGACCTTTCACCTTGGGTTACCTTGGTTTGATTCCAACTTTTGACAATCTAACTGAACAAAAATGTATTCTCTCTTTTGTCCAGATACATTTTTTAATGTATATTAAATTCCCAGTGGCTTTTTAAAACATTTTTGTATCATATTAATTCACAAGTGACCTTGTTTTTTAAGAAAGTAATTACTATACCGACTACCCTTTTCAAATAAATTTGGTGGAATTTTAACAGAGCACATTGCCTCAGTTTCTTTTTATTGAAGTGAAGACTAGTCTATGTACTGCTTGCAAAATTTGATCATTTTAACATCTGTGATTGATTGAAAATGGTACACAGTATTCATAGTAGGGAGTGGGTAGGTTAGACCTCATTTGACACGAGAGGGCACTTTTCTATGTTCTCTCTTTTTATTCATACCCCAACAAGTGCGAGTGCATTGTCAATAAGCTCTGGCAAAAAATGCGACGCCAATGGCACATATGGAACACCATACTTATTGTCAATTTTCATTCTCTCCTGGGTACCGTCCAACCACTACAGAGAATACCACGTCACGTGACTTTAACATTACTGCACATATCTTGCCTCTGTTTACAAAACTTTCAAAAACAACTTTACAAATATTGTTACAATTTATTGCGTGCATGCATTTACTGATGTTGGCATGGCATTTGCTCAATTTTGGTAAAATAGTTTTGGTAAATTTTCAGGGACTGACCGACTGATACCCAAGTGACTTAGAAGCTCCTACCAGAGCTAAAAATTATGTAGAACAAAAGGCGATGAGTAACAACAATTTAACACTGTTGTCTTCACTCTTTTAGTTAAATGAATAAAACGAAGAGGCTTATTTTGGAGAGGGCTTGACCGCGTTGGCCCCCTGGATCCACCTTTGGCCATATAAAAAAAAAAAATTTAAAAATGGAAAAATAGACTTAAGAAAACCCGAATTACTAAAGACTATTCTTGGAACTGCAATTTGCTAGAATCACTTGCATCTGCATACCTTCACAAAATTTCGACTGTGTTGGAGGTGGATGAAGCAAAATGTATTCTGACAGTGCTAAGATATACAATGAAGTTTGAAGTTAAATACTGAATAGAACTTATAACACGAGCCTTCTTAGCTACAGCTACTTCAGCGGATGCAATGAAGAAGCTGATGAAGTAAAATGTAGCTACGAAAACTTATGCCATCATTTTTATTTTAGTTAGTCTTTATTATACACCAGTATCTAGCAGACTAACTCGGCTGTATACGTCTTTGTTAAAAGAATAGAGAAACTGAACAGTTTAGGCCAGAAAAAAAAAAAATCGGTCTCTGGTCAGCGCGCGCGTCGATTTTAATCATGCGCGTCAATCTTTTTTTTTTTTCCTAAATGTTCCGCGGTATCTCCAACAGCGCCCTCTATTGAAGCACCTCCTCAATTTTTTTTTACCAAAGAGCACAAAGGAATGGGAAATTGCACCACGGCAAATGATCGAGAGCACCAAAGCAAATTATGAAGGACACCAATGTACATGAGGACACCAAAAAAAGCAAAATAGTACCCCACCTTGTCTGTACAATCCAAGCTTGAAGAAAAAAAAAAAAAGCAAAAAAAAAAAAAAGCCGTGTCGCCGCGTCCATTCCGGAACTTTTGTCTGACCAGAGACCGAATATTTTGTAACATCCAGCAGACAAATTATTTGCTGTTTGTTTGGCACAAGTAGTAATCAAAGAGCAAAATGATACCACTTTATACATATTTACGTGTCAGTTTGTATGACTATTTTTATTTATCTCTACGTGACAAATACATGTATGTACCTGAATTTCTTCATTACTAGGCAAACAGCATCTTAAAAAAAGCGGGTCTGAAATAAGGCCATCAGCCTCGGTCCGAAATTTTGGCCACCGGTATCAAATGAGGGGAATAATTGTCAAAGCGATTTTTGGCAATGAAGGTATACACCTCCAGAGTTGGAAAATATGTGATAGCATTGAAACGGTGGCAGCTTTTTGGGTGTTATCACCCTTTTTTTCAAAATGTCCATCGAACCACTCTAGGGGCGGTATACCTTGCGCATGCGCACTATAATAATTTATGCCTTGATTTGATACTGACCAAACCCCCAGGCTGATGGCCTAAATGTAAACTTGACGATAGGCCTGTGTGACACCAATATTTTTTAAAGATCAGATTTTTTTTAAAATTTAGTATTGATTTTGCTGTTTTTGAATATTTTGTAGGTGCGCTCTGAGGTGATAGCGACCTATGCCTTGTGTGGTTTTGCCAACATTGGTTCTGTAGGCGTCATGCTGGGAGGGTTGACTCCGATGGCACCGAGCAGGCGCCGAGATCTGTCCGCCGTGGTACTACGGGCCTTGATGGCTGGCACTGTGGCCTGCTTCATGACGGCTTGCATTGCAGGTAAAACTAATATCACCCTCGACCAATTTGAATGGGGGGGGGGGGGTGTACATGCAGGCCCGTCGCCAGCCCTGAGCGTCAAGGGGGGGGGGGGGGGGCAAAAGTACCAACTAGGTGGGCCCACTACTGTAAAAATACAAAAATACACATGTACCAGTCTGGCTTTTGATTGGGGGGGGGGCCCATTGCTCGCCAAGGGGGGCCAGGCCCCACCAGGGCCCCCCCCCCCCCCCTTGACGACGAGCCTGTGTACATGACAGCGAATTTGCCAACAAACCACTCTGTGCAGCCATGCGTATTGTATTGGAAACCTGGCCACGACAAAATCAAGAACTTTAGGGGATGGGATTGGATACGGGGGGGGGGGGGGGGGGGGGGGGGGGGATTGGACGCCATCTGACTAATTTAGGCGCTGTTCAAACAGACGGTATGAGACACTTTTAGACATCAGGTGGTTCTTTATTCGTTGAGGCATATTTGCAGATGAATACACAAAATTGTAGACAGCTAGGCCACACATTTTTCGTCAAAAACAATTAATGGAGGCGGGTGGGGGGTGTAACACCTTATGATCACTCTATTGACACCCTTGATCAGACAGTCAAGAAGAGGGCAATCACACTTTGTTTAGTTCAGTCATATATGAGTCTTGGCTTAAGACTGGATTAAGATTTTGTTTCCTTTTCATTTGGGGGGGGGGGGGCCTTCCCCAGTAGAGGCAGTATGTGCTATTGAAGGACATCTTTTCTTTCATAGTCCTCTTCAAAATCAAAGAGGCACCTTTTTCCTTTGATATTTTTGCTGACTCAAATGTACAAGTTTCAGGCTGTGTTGAAATTAATGGTACACAAAATGTTAAATCAAATGTTCAGTACAAAGTTACAGCCAAACTCAGATGCATGTAATTTCGGACAACTATTATATGTGGACATTTTTTAATTTGGGGTTTTGAATTACATGCAGTGGGGAGTGTGGCCTAGTGCTTAGGGTCCATGATTCTTGGTCAGAGCCTGAGCTCAGGGGTTCAAATCCAGTTGCTGTGTCCATGGGCAAGCCACTCTACCCCCGCATCCCTCTTCCCATCAAGGATTGTAAATTTAAGTACCAGCATTTGCTAGGGAGTAGCAATGGACTGGCATCCCAAGCAGAACAGAAATAGCCTCTCATGCCACTGAAACCGTAGATAAATACCAGCCTGGTGGGCTATAGACCTATCGCCGCTTGCGAGTTAGCCACGCCCCTTGGACAACCCTATGGAATTTTGTACGTTAAGTTTTGTTTGTCTCAGATGTTGCGCGTTCCGCGTCAATTGGACAATACTTCACAAGCTGCGTTGATGCGATTCTACTGCGATAGGTTAATTATTTGCTCATGACAGGCTTTATTATAGTCATACAGATCCTTGTCATTTGGTTGGTGGCACTCACATCACGTGACGTTCATTATCGCTCCCATTTATGCTGGGGCTCAAAAAGTCTCATTCGCCCATGGTGAATGGGATTTACTATTCAACAGTTAGGATCATCCTTGTTCCGTGGCGCGGTATTTGTGTGCAAATGCATGTTGGTGTGCGCATTGAGCGTTGCATTTCATGAAGGGGTGGTTTGGAAGAGAGAAATACATTTCCCACCAATTTTGTATTGAAATACAAGGATCTATATGTCAGTTATATAAAACAAATAAATGTTGAGTGGCTTTAAATTGTGAAATGGGAGGAATATTATCGCAAGGTAAAATCTGGACTTTCCTATTTCACGAGGCGAACTCTGAGCCACTCAATATTTGTATACTATTTCACCACTTTGCTTGACCGTCTAAGCCAAAGTTGACTCTGTTTTTTCCTTGTCTTTGTGTCCTTTTTCCCCTGCAGGTATACTGTACGTGGAAGAGAATTATGTGCCAATGACAGGCAGCACAGTGCTACCTGGGGGCATTGGGGACGTTGCCAATGCCACTGCCATGGCCAACGTCACAAATGTCTATGATGTCACCAATGTCACTGACTTCATGACGACATGATGTTGATGGAATGGATGGCGCCATTGCGCTGAAAGTGGTATCATAACTTAGTATCAATGCATTTATTGATAGATCCAGCAGGGTAATTGTCTGAGTGGTTGCCATGGGAACCAAGTGGGGCCAAACTATATGTTGAGATATTCATAGAAAGTATTGTACTGGACAAGAAATGCCTCAATAATCCACTGTATGTCAAGAAAACAAAACCTCATGGTCTGTCAATCCATTAATATCTTTTACCTGTAAACCATCAACAGCTCTTTTCCAGAAATTCATGATTTTATTTTCTTACTTGGTGTTACTTCCTACATGTATTTTTTACATATATCTTCAGGGTCTGCAGGCCTTTTCGTTAAAGATTGTGTGTGGTACTTGAATTTAATTGTAGGTTTAGGTTATTATACATGTACTCAGTTTATTAGGTGCATACATAATTGTTTTTATAGGTGTGGTTTCTTTTCAAGATTTCAGCATGTGTGCTAATGTTGCATGGCAGTATAGGAATATGGTTCGAATCCAACTGCTGGTCATATGTTGTGTCCTTGGGCAAGCCACCTCACCTCTACTTGCCTCTCTCCACCCAGGACTATAAATGGGTACTGACATTAACTAGGGAGTAACGTGCGATGGACTAGCATCCCATCCAGGGTAGTAGAAATATTCTTGTAGATACCAGTAGATATATTCGTTGTGCTACTGAAACCGGAAATAAACACCAGCCTGATTGGGCCACATTGGCTTGTGACAAGCTTTACTTTTTACTTTACAGCCATTATGCAGAACAAGACAAGGCAAGAAGT